AACCTTTTTATCCAACTTTAAAAATATTTCGATGTGTCTGGTAAAAAAAATTTAAAAATTTTTTTGTAATTTTTAAAGTACAATGGACATACTTGTCATTTTACAACTGTAAATCACTTATAGATTAATCTATTTAAATCCTTAAATAAGTCTGATATTTCATAATCAGATTCAACTTAATCAATTTCGGATAAAGCAAATGCTCAGTCATCAGCTTCAGCAATGAAAATATTTGGAATTAATCCAAAGAAATAACACAATTCAAAGAAAAGCTTAAAGTTTAAATGAATTGGATATAACTGCAAATATTATAGTACTTAGATCAAGACATAACAGCCTTCGGGAGAGAAGCTTTATATAATTTGATTTTAACTTTTCTTTTGCATGTTTTGTGTGTTATAATAATAAGCGTTCTTAATTATTGCTCTTACAAGTGTCACGCCATTACATTGAGCGCAAATTGGAACCCATAAAACACATCCCTGTTTATATTATACAAGAGTGTTTTTTTTTATTTTAAAAAAAAAAGTTCTAAATTATTAAACAAGTATATACCTTTTTAACTACATAAAACAATATAACGAGAGTGGAATCTTCGGTCATTCTTCATTATTTTGAATCTTAAAAAATTAATTAAACAAGTAAAATTGATCTAAACCATCTAAATATAAAAACAAAAAAATGGGACATGAGATGTAACTTCTAGAAATTTAGGAAAATGTAAGTATACTCTCTAGCTAAGGAGTCTAAAGCAATAGATGACTAATGTGATATTAAAGGCCCCACTAAATATTATAATTCAAACTAATTCATGCCAAAACCAGTGCACTTGAATACCCTCACAAATGGGATCTATCAACTGGGATTTTGACTTTTGAGTATAATTATTTTGATTTGAAAATGGGACAGAACTTAACGTATCAAACTCTATGTTTCAAAATTTATATAGCATTTTATATGTGTATAACTGAGTTTTTATATATATATTTTATAAAATGATTAAAATAATTTTTATGTAATGTTATCTAAATTTTAAATACATAATCTTGTTGCTTATGGTGTTAATATTTTAGATTCTTTTTTGTGACTTATGCTTTAACGATTAACATTATTTAAACTGACTCGTTTATTTAATCATGAAAATAGGATCCTAAGATTCTTGGGGACTTTAGCTAATGCAAATGGAAGAGGATGGCATGGCCCCACATATGTTCTGAACTGTGACATTAATATTTGTACGAAATTTATTTATTTTTGAAGAATATGGATATAAAAGAATAATTTGATTTAAATTAACGTTGGCAATATAAATTCACTTTTATGAACAAAAAAGAAAACAAATTAACCCCGTCAGTCTGGGGTGTGATTGTATATATAGTAGTATACTTTGAGCTTAGAAAGTGTTCTTTTTTCCTGGAAAATACCTATTTGGTGTTGCTTCAAAAACCATTAAGAATATTTTTGTGTATTTCAACTAAACATTTCTATGTTCCAAATATTTTTTGGGTTGATTCGAGACTCTGTAGACAAACCAAAAGTAAAACTTAATATAAGTTTGTCTCCAGCTTTTTAATCTAATTGATTTAAATCTATAAATCATGAATTACATAAACACTCTTTTACAATTCATATGTTGTCTAATACAGTTTTAATATGTAAATAAATAAATTAATATAATAATATCACATACGATAACATCTAATTTGATATATTAATAATACTGACAATTTTATAATCCTCATAATAATACAAAATGTGATGTCATTTAGGAAGCAGATCAGGAACAAATAATATATTATTCTAATTGGAGTGGTTTACAATAACTAAAAAAAATAAAAAAATTTGAAGTATTGAATCCTAATTATCGTGATTATTGAAAACGACCAAACTACTGTGCAATATCCAACAAGATTATGAGAAATCTGTTAAATATTTTATGAATATACTGGGAAGCATTGAGTTGCTTGCATTAAAAATTAAAAATAAGAGAGGGCCGTGGGCAAATAATAGCTGTCTCATGGCCTATCCGATGGAATTATATAGTGTAAACTTTACGTGGTCTATGGACCACCTTATCTTTTAGCCACGTGATTTATTAACATCAGCGGATTCACCAATTTGTGCGGTTGTGCCACTTGCTTATAAAAAACATTTCTCTTCAAATTGCGTCCGATACTACTGTTCAATTTCTTGTCGCACCAAATCTGATTACGAAATAAAAAAATACATTGATTGGATTAGATTCTTTTGTAACCCTAATACTCACTTCCAGATCTTATCAAGATTCCTTAACAAATCCATAAAATAATAAGGAAGAAATAAGTAAGCCATGTTTCGACAAATTCCATAGATTCATGTAAATATATGGAGAGGATCATTAATTCTGTTCTATATTGTTGTGATAGTACTGATTTATCTTTATATTTAATGGATATATCATTGTTGATGCAGATTTTAATATCAACGAAAGGTACATAAGACTTCAAGGAATATTGTGCAAAGGGTCCGAGAAATGAAATATGATGTTGAACTTGTGGATGATAATAAAAATAATACGTAAAAGTAAATGAAAGAACATACAAGAACAATTTTAAAGTGGTTCGGATGCAAAAAGCAATTCATACGTCCATTGTTATTTTATTGATGTGTTTACAAAGAATATTTGCTCTAGAGAGATAACTGCTTTATATCTATTCAGAAAATCAAAAGATCAATATCTGGTTTGAGGTGGGAAACCCCTATTTATAGTGTTCCGAAAGTAATTTTAAGTATAAACTATGAAGTAATCCACATACAACCTGACATGTGATAATACACTCATTAACTTATAAGTGAAATAGTTTATATGTGAATTAACACGTAGTTTGAAGGATAACCTATAGCCTTAAGGGTGAAGATCTTCACATGCGAATTTACATGATTGGCTTTTAAAAGAAGTTGTCTTCTAGAGAGTTAACATGCGTTTTGATGATAAGGCACCTTGGCGACACATGACGTTAATTCAATTTGCATGAATTTATTACCCAAGAATAATATACCAATTGTTGTCTTTTTAAACAGTTTGTCAGTAGAAGCACTGTGGAGGACGACGGGGTATTAATAGCAACCACATCGTTTGAACTGTCTCCATAATGTAACCGAAAAGCCTAGTGTTGCTTTGACAAGCTATGGAATTGATGTTATGTGTGTTGTTGGTGTGGATAAACGTAAGTTAACGTTGTAATTCTCTGTTGGAATTATATGTGTTTAATCAAATCGATACAGGAAGAAGATAGTAAATTTTAATTTTGTGTATAGTATTTTCAACACTGAAAATCAAACCTTTTTTCTAGTCAAAGTGGACTTGAATTTGATTGTGAAAAATTAGTAAGCTGTACTGAGTTTTGCTTACATTGAATGGAGAGAAGAAAAAATTAGATTAATAAAGAAAACAAATAACATGGAAATGTAAGTATAAAAATATGAACATGTTGGTGATTAATTATAAAGAAGCTCAAATTATGCAGAATGTATTGAAGTGATGGAAACACAAAGGCAACACTATCCAAGTAAATTCGTACATAAATCTATATATAGTAAACTCACTGTACTGTTTCTAAGAGGGCACTAAATTTTATGAAAAAAGAAATTACACAGTGATATACAAAACATAATCGACCTGGTTCAATGGTCAGACGCCGCATGATCAAAATAGATTTGACGCGTTTGGCCGCCATGAATTTGTCGTGTGTTAACTTTTAGAGTCGTCCCGTGACCAGTCTTTTGAACACGCACAGTTAGAATGATTAAACATCATCTTCGTCGTCAAGGAAATGACACATCCCGTGAAAATGGCAGAATCCGTAATTTCATTTTGTTTTTTCCATTAATGATAGGCTTGCTTTCTTTCCGTTTTTTAGAACTTTGATTTTGTTTTAATGTCGGTGATAATTCAGACAAAATCTTTTTTACATACATTTTATCAAAGCATAGCCTTTGTATTACATACATTTTCAGAACTTAAGAACCAAATCAATTCACCCTCTCTCCTCCTTTGGCCTTCTTAGTTGGTGTTCTATTTATATGGAGTTTATTTATCTCATTGCGTACATACTCACAGACAAAAACAAGTCCGTGGGATTCTGGGTGAGGATGGTGATGAACCCATTATAATTAGCGTGCGAAATTTACCAATTTGAATACTAGAAAAAAGATTCACCAATTTGGTACATCATAAATTCTGCATGAAAAAAAAACCCAGATATCTCACAGTTTCAGCATGAAATTAATTTACACAAACTTCCAAAGCTCCAGAAACATTAATAAATTGAGCACCAATTAAAGCGAGTATCCAGAAAGTAATTACCCAAAACTGCAAGAAGAGTACTAAATCAATGTGAAAAGCATGGTTAGTTTAATGCTTTAATACCATCTACCATTTAATGATTTTGTGGCCTCACAAGTCACAACTTCGGAGTTATAATTGCTGTGCCTTTTTCTTCATGATTTATTTAGTCTACCATATTCATACGGTTTTTGCCGACTTTATTGTCTATGATAAATGAGCTCTTGTGAACTAGTTAGATTTCAAACTAATTCAGAAAATTTACCTCATATTTAAGCTTTACCATCCATCAGAAATTCGTTTTTAAATCCTATTAAGAAATTTGCATGGATGCGAATAGGCAATCAAAAGCCCTTGTGTTCACTCAAACTTTAGATAACATCCATGAAAAAGTTTATGTAAAATGCCCCAACCATATATATATAAGTGACATACAACTCATACAAATATAAAAAAGGCATCAACCAAAAACCATATGCAATTGACAATTCTACACTTCATCGCTTTGTTTTTTTTGGTTCTTTTATCTCTTATTTTAATAAATATTGGGAAAGAACCACTGAGAAAAGAAAAACAAAGAAAAAGGAAAAAGAAATCTGCTGCCTTCAAATTGGGTTTCTTCCCATCCAGCCATATTCCCACACACACTGCACTTCTCACTTAATCTTTGTACACCTTTTTTTTTTTTTTTTTTCTCGAACCCCTCACGTTTGGTGCTGAATTGACAATATAAAAATTGCATATAAGTAAACTCTATTTTCATGAAATTAGGTCTAAAACAGAAGAGCCAAATAAGGGGGAGCCATCGGCTAAGTTATCTTAACAAATGGTTGGAACCCGGATGACCCAGACGACTATAATATAAGTTATATAACCCACTTTAATCAGCAGTGGTCCAAGTCATATCGTTCTCAAAAATCCAATGACAGACCTCAATTCGCCCGGGACCCGAACCCAAAGCCAAGAATGCGCCATGGGTGGGGCTCCAAGCCGAGGTATCCAAATGACAGATGGCAACGCCATGGTTGATCTTTGCCTTGGTGTTGGGATCTAGGATATCAGCTTCATACACCCGAACTTTAGGAACAGAGTGGCAGTAATAAAGCAAATAAGGGAACAAACTCTGGTGACAAGACACTGATTTAGTAACTTTACCACCGTTGATTCCTTTGATTGATCCGACCATTATCTTCTTCTTCGATCCATTCAAGTTTTCCGTCGAACGAACCACCACGTTGCGGCCCAAGATTGAGGTTGCGAAGTCGATCATGTCCTCAACCGAACCCACACAGCGCTTGGTCTCCCCAGCGCTCGGCGCCCTCTCGCACTCGCTCAAAGTGTCCTTAATTATCGTCTCCATGGTGGAATTATCAGCGGCGTGGAACAATTGCTTCAATTGAGAGACTTTAGAACTGGAAAACGGTAATTTGGAGACAATAGTGCGGGGCAAAAACGACCTTTTGGGCATTTTATCTTTAATGTCCGGCATTGGCATCACGTTCCCCTTCTTGAGCATGGACTCTCTAAAGAATTTGCCAGGCTCCACCCATCTATTTACCAAACTGCCACTAGTGGCTGCCATTTTAGGAGAAGTTGAAGAGCTGACATTGTTGTACTTGGCAAAAGTAACCCCAGTCTTGGCGTAATCTTTGAAAGTGTTGTTAACTCCATAAGTCTTGAATCCAACCGTATGGCCTTTAGCGCCCTGGCCATATCCTTTAAACACGTCTGTACCTTCATTGAACGAATTCCCATAATTTGAAAATTTAACTTTTGCAGAATTCGAATTCTTGGCGTAAGATTGAAACGAATCGTCACCGACATTGGATTGGTCTCTGTAACTGGAGAAACTTTCCACAGCTGCATTGCCACCGTCGCCGTAATTGTTAAACTTATTGGTCGGAACATTGCCTTCATCACCATACGAAGTGAAAGTATCATTAGCCCCATTGCCTCGCTCGCCGTAACCCGAAAAACCCGAACCCATTACATTTGATCCTTTTCCGTAACTGGAAAACACATTGGGGGATCCGTTTGACTTCTTTCCATAAGCGGTGAAGTCCTGATTGCCTGCGTTGGCGTTGTCGGTGTATGTGGTGAACTTGTTGGTCCGGCCGACCGCATCGGCGGTGTAAGTGGTGAACCGGATATTAGGGACATTGACGTCCCCGTTGTAGCTCTTGAAATTACTGCTGCTACCGGTTGCGCCGGTGCCGTAGGTGTTGAAGCTCTGGTCTGCAACATTGGCTTCCCGTGCATAACTCGAAAATCGATCCTCATGACCACTTGAGTCCCGGCTGTATCGACGGAACGAGTCGACTGGGAGGTTGTCACCGTCGGAGTAGTTCTTAAACGAGTCAACTCCACCGGGACGAAGCGTACCGTAATTGGTAAAGTTCTTGTTCAGATAAACAGCAAAGTTGGCGTTGGTGTCGTGCTTCTCGAGACTCGGGGATAAATCGGGGAAACAGAAGAGTTTAGCGGTGGAACAAAAGGATGGGAGAACAGAAGAGAGAGTGTTCTGGGAGGCGAGTTTGGCAAAATTAGTGGAGTCGACTGCATTTAATGGAGAAGCCTTAGAGAGAAGAAAGGCAGATTTTGGTAAATTGGTGCGGATCTCTTTGTCCCAGTATCTAAGCAGGTAAGCTTTTGGTGTGAATGGATTTTCTTTGGCAGTAATTTCGCCGGAAATCGCGGAAGCAGCCGAGAAATTGACCTGCATTGCCAAATAAACCAAAGTAAGAATCCATTAAAAAAGAAAAGAAAAACTGGGATTGGGGAAGGAAGATTAAATAGCTTACATTGAAGAGGAGGAAAAGGAGGCAGAGGGGAGAGAAGAGGTGAAGTTGTTTTTGTTTAAGCATTATTATTTTAAACAGAGAGAGAGAGAGAGAGAGAGAGAATGTTGGTGCGCTTCTCGGGCTTGTAGATACAAAGTATTTATAAAGGGAAGAGTTAGAGCTTCCGGTTTTCTTCTATTTTGAACGTTATTAATGAGCTTTGCTGGCACTCTGAAATATTTTTAATTTAGGAACAAAGTGAAAGAATAAAGAGAAAAAGGAAAAGGAAAAGCCTTTGTCAAAACTAGAACCACCATTTTCAAGCAGTCAAATATTAAATAATGGAAATATACGTAAAATAATTTTGATTGTCGCGAGTATAATATACGAGTATCTTTTGACATTTTTGATATTTATGCTTGTATTTGTAGTATTGCAGGAATCTTGAGTTTAATGTGAAAATTAGGTGGAATTACATTAAATATATTAAAATTTAAAAACAATTTTTTGAATTCAATTGAAGGTTGGATTACTTTAGAAATTATACAAATCTCCGAAAAGAGAAACATGGTAACTTTTTTTTTTTTTCAATTCAAAAGTTTGACGAAGTTTGTTCTATTCTTTAAGTTTTAAAGTTTAAATCTTAGGACTATCTATTATAATAATATTGTAGTTTACTTAACCTTTTAAATTTATAAGGCCAATAAACTGACCTAACTACTCTTATTTACTTATACTAGCATTTATTGTCATAACTTGTATAGAGAAAATAATGAAGCCGTGAGACTGAAAGTAAAAGCAGTTTTTGAAAATAAGGAAGAGTCCACTTTTTGGTATTGATTGACAGCAAGGTAAGTATTGGAGACGCGTGCTTGCTGTGTGGCAGTTTCCTATTGGTCATCTTTCCTTTTAAATATAGATTATAGACGCGTTTAGCTCTAATTTTTTTTTTTATTTTTTGTTTTGTTTTATGTTATGGCTTAATTAGTAGATTCTTTTCGTGAACCCTGCATTATTAGTATGTTCATGTCGATGAAGCTGACATCCTTTACCATCGTACATTCAAGTTTGTTTGGTCAATGTCTTTTCAATCCTCTCTCTCAACCCAATTCTATTCTTCATCGGCGATCACTGTTTTTAATTGATTTCATTTATTACAAGTCAACCCTGAACTTATTCGAGAATTCCCTACCCTGTGGGATCGACGGGGTTTTTTCTGATATCCAACCCTGTTGGGTTTTTCTACCATTCCTACATAGACTAACATAAAAACAAAATGTGAAATTGAAAGTAAATATTTTCGGGTGACCTGAATACATATTGGTAGTGGGTTCGGGGCAAGTGAAAGAGGACAATCTTTAGTTATAGTTATAGATTAGTTTGTAATTGAAAGAATATGGATAAGACAAGTTAAAAAAAGGCTGTTTTGTGTTGTGCTCTCCCATGCCATGCTATCTTCACTTTTGTTGCATTGTCCTTTCAATATTCCCAAAACCCAAACCCTTCCTTTATTGATTATTTATGTATTTGTTAGCTCACAGCTTCCGCATGAAAATTGCTTTTTTTATTTATATTTTCTCAACCAAAACACCAAAAATATGAATGACACCATTATGGTCTATCATTATTACCTAATCTATTATTCAGTAGTATATTTTTATTAAAATATCATTATCCCTTTGAAACTCATTTATATGATAAAAACTAAAACTAAAATAAAAGTGTTAAAAGAATATTTTGTTCTCTTCAATCTTATGTTAAGGCTTAGTTTGGGATTGTTGTAGCCTTAAGTTTAACATGTTTTTATCCAACTTTGAAAATAAATAACTTTAAAATTAATTTTCGATGTGTCTGGTAAAAAATTTTTTTTGTAATTTTTAAAGTACATATGGACATATTTGTCATTTTACAACGTTAAATCATCTTATAGATTAATCTATTTCAATCCTTAAATAAGTCTCATAATCAGATTCAAACTTAATCAATTTCGGATAAAGCAAATGCTCAGTGATCAGCTTCAGCAATGAAAATATTTGGAATTAATCCAAAGAAAAACTTAAAAGTTTTTAAATGAATTGGATCTACAGCAAGATATTTATAGTACTCAGATCAAGACATAACAGCCTTCTGGAGAGAAGCTTTATATAATTTGATTTTAACTTTTTCTTTTGCATGTTTTGTGTGTTATAATAATAAAGCGTTCTTAAATTATTGCTCTTACAAGTGTCACCGGCCACTTCACATTGAAGCGCAAACTGGAACCCATAAAACGACATTCCTGTATTTATACAAGAGTGTTTTTTATTAAAAAAAAAAAAAATGTTATAAATTATTAAACAAGTATATACCTTTTTAACTACATAAAAACAATATAATGAGAGAATGCCATCTTTAGCCAATAATTTTAAAATCTTAAAAAATAATTGAGATACACACGTACCATCTACGATCATTAAAAAAAACAAAAAAACAAAAAAAAAAAAGTGGGACATGAGATGTAACTTCTAGAAATTTAGGAAAATGATAAGTATGCTCTCTAGCTAAAGAGTCTAAAAGCAATAGATGACTTAATGTGATATTAAAGGCCCCACTAAATATTATAATTTCAAACTAATCTATGCCAAATCACATGTGCACTTGAATACCCTCACAAAAATGGGATCTATCAACTGGGATTTTGACTTTTGAGTATAATTATTTTGATTTTGAAAATGGGACAGAACTTTAACGTATACAAACTCTATGTTTCAAAATTTATATAGCATTTTATATGTGTATAACTGAGTTTTATATATAAATATAAATTTTATAAAATGATTAAAATAATTTTTATGTCAATGTTATCTAAATTTTAAATACATAATCTTGTTGCTTATGGGTGTTAATATTTTAGATTCTTTTTTGTGACTTATGCTTTAACGATTAACATTATTTAAACTGAATCGTTTATTTAATCATGAAAATGATAGGATCCTAAGATTCTTGGGGACTTTAGCTAATGCAAATGGAAGAGGATGGTCATGGCCCCAACATATGTTTCTGAACTGTGACATTAATATTTGTACGAAATTTATTTATTTTTGAAGAATATGGATATAAAAGAATAATTTGGTTATTCTCACAATTAATATACAAATTTTCTATATATTATATTTTCCATTTATTTTTTAATTTAATTAGATGTTATAATTCGATGTGCTCCACCTTTTTAATATGATGTTATTTATGAGGAAATATGAACCCAAATAACCGTTTATCCTTTGATTTATGAAATTGGAAAGTCGGCAATTTATGCATGAAAAACAAGTCTCGACTCTTGACGCGTTAAGAATATATTGCTATCTTTTATTGTACGAGAAACTCATATACGACACCAAAATAAATAAAATGTGGTAAATAAAATAAATGTATTAATGTTGGTTCAACTAATAAGTAGACTTGGCAAACAGGCGGGTTGGGCAGACACTTGTCGACGGGTAAAATAGGTACGAGTTCATGGGTCGAAATATAAATGATCCATCAGTAGTACAAGAATTCCAAATATCAGAAGTTAAGCATATTCTACCTAGAACCCTCTCTAAAACAAGCTTAATCTTTTCATTCTCCTTATAATATATCTTTACACAATTCGCCTTAGCGGTGTTCCTAGTATAAGGCTTAATTTCATGATTCAAATACATGTGATGCTCCACTGTTGAATATAGGTAATTATGTTTTATGATTCCTATTACCATCTTCTCACGATAAATCTCTTGAGAAATCCTTAAACGTCGCAATTTAGCATCACAATCCATCATCAATTGATCTACACTACTAATGATACGTTTAGGACAACCTTCCGTATGACGCTTCAAATTCTTAGTCTCATGAGTAGAACTACCATATGCATAAAACTTACTACAAATCAAACACTTTGCCCTCTCATTCCCATTCTCATCTATATATGTTGTAAATTGACCCAAAACCTCTGAAACTTTACGTTTTTTTTAGACAAACAGGATTAGCACTAGAAGAAGGTTGACCTACGGCTGCATTACGACTAGGGGTGCATACGAGCCGAGCCGAGTAGTGGCTAGCTCGAGCTCGGCTCAAATGTATTAGGAGAAGGCTCGAGCTCGAGCTTGAGCTCGGCTCGTTTAAAAAATAAACGGCTCGAGCTCGGCTCGGCTATTTATAAGGATTTAACAAAACGACGTCGTTTTGAACCCCTTTTCTTCTTCTTCTTCTTCTTCCACTGCCCCTCCCACTAACTTCTCAGTCGAATCTGCTAAGACCAAAATCCAACTCCTCATCTCCACCCAGTCATAATCTTCAGTCGATCTACGTCATGAGGAAACTACTCACCACCATCAGAGTCCACCCCATCGTCATCGAACTCGTCAGATCTCAGCTTTACCTCCGACCTCCTCTCCTGTGGCACCTGCGTTAGTGGCCTTGACTCACGAGCTGAAACCTTACCGATCGATCTCACAAGCTCTCCTACTCGAATGACGTCTCGAGTGATTCGAACAGCTCACGAACAGTTCGAATCGAGCCCAAAAAGCTCGACATTTTTCACAAGCTTGAAGTTGAGCTCGAACTCGTGAAATACTCGTTCTCTGACGAGTCAAGCCTAAGCTCGTCACGAGTCGAATCCCGGTTCGACTGGACCCCTAATTACGACCACCTTCTATCGCCTCATTAAACAAATTTGTAGACTCCTCCATGCCAAGCCAATCTAAAGGACACAACAGAGTATTGATATTTAAATTAATTAATCCATTATAACAATTCATCCAAAATAAAAACAAAACACTCACATATATTTTACAAGTAAACCAGCCCTACCAAATGACTGGATTTTTTCAACTCAACACTCCTCAACTCAAAAAACTAAAAACAGTAAGTTTTGGGACAAATTAACCTGGGTATAATTTAGATTTCAGAGGGTTATTCTGCAACTCAGTATTGTCTGAACTCTGAAATGAAACTAACCTGCAAAACAGTAAGTTAGAGATTGTTATGAAAGACTTCAAGATAGCGAGAGCCGAGAGCATGTAACTACTTTATCTTTCTCACCTATTACTGCTTTCGGCTTTCCTAACAGAAACAGACTAACACAGTGACAATACATTATACAATAATTAACATCTATATTGAGTTAATCAAAAGCCGATTATAGAAAATATAGATATACTTTTTAATTTTTATAACAACCCCAAAAATATGCAAATGCAAATATATTAACTAAAAAGTAATAAAGTATAACAAAAAACAACATACCTTACTTTCAGTCTTAGATGGGTACGACATCGGTGTGATATTGACAAAGATTGAAAGATTCAGCTGTGGCGAAGGCATGAGGCGACGATGGCGTGAGAGAGAGCTGCTACTGAGAGTGACTGTTACTACTAAGAGTGAGGCGGTGTCGGAGTGAGAGAGAATGAGAGTGAGAGTTGTTGCTGTTCGAGTGAGATGGCGTCAGAATGAGAGAGAATGAGAGTGAGAGTTGCCACTGTTAGAGTGACGTGGCGTCGGAGTGAGAGAGAATGAGAGTGAAAGGAGAGTTGCCACTGTTTCGTTATTGGCCTAGGTTTGGGAGTTGCCATTTATGGACGTGAGTGTGAGAGAGTTGAGATTGAGTATTTGAGTTTGACTATTTCTGTTTGAGAGAATGAGAGTCGTGTTTTTTTTTTTTTTTTTTTTTTTCCAATTTGGGAGTTGGGGTTTTGTTAATTTGAATTATTGAATATATATTTTTAAATTAAAGTATGGGTACCCGCAGGCATTACCCAATCCACCCGTAATTTTCAGGCCGGGTACGGGTAATTTCAAAACAGGTATTTTAAAGGGATACCTCCGTTAGGTGCCGGTACGACCTCTTTTGCCAGGTCTATTAATAAGTAATAATCAATCCACCGTACATCAAGAATTCAACCAGGAGCACACCATCCAACGCTTATTGATAACAAATCAGTATTAATCGTACTGCTGATTTGACATTTTTAACTGAATTGCTATCTATTTTCAGTAGCTGATTTTTTTTCTTTTGTCTTATATTATAATTTTTTTGTAGTTTTTAAAAATCTACTAAAATTAATTGATGAGCGGTGAATTTACAAACTAATAAGCAGGAGAGAGAGATCCATATCCTTATTGGAATGAGTATCAATTATCAAACATTTCACATGGCACGTGCGCTACTCCCTGGACTTTGAAACACAAGTTTACTTATTAAAAACAACAGATCATATGGATTTTTGCCACAACTTTCAGTATGCTGTTTAACTCTACATTACATGAATTCTGTCCTGTTGCACACAAAAAAGATTGTAACTACAATGGAGTCCTCTCCCACATAATGCAGCGTAAGAGAATACAATATTTTGGAAACATTTTTATATATCTTTACCAAAGAAATTAAAACAGGAGTAGAAACCAAGAGAGAAACGTCTCAAACAGTGACTAATCTTTGAGGGTGAATAAATAAACAAATCAAAAGAATTGTTCAATGGAGCTGCAACGAACACAATACCCAACGCTTTCCCGCGTATCATCCAGCTTTAGAATATTAAGATTTTTCCAGTTAATGGACCTAGCTAATTTAAGATATTGATTCCAGGGCCGCTCTTAATAATCACATCGCTTGTTGCCTACCCATTTCCACTTCTCTTTCTATCATTTTCTTCCCACACCACCAACTCCAATAATTAATTCCAATAAAAGGAGAGAGATATATATATACACACTGTTCTTGTTTCTCAATTTTTGATTTATAATTTGAATGGAGAATCATATCTTTACATAAATTGCCATAGCTAATTCATGCTTTTTTAAGCCATTGGACCTCCTTTCATGTGAAGAATGCAATAAGTAAACTGCATACCCCATTTTTTGATAAGTTTCAGACCCGACACACCAAAAGATGCATCTTGTTTTGATAAGATCAAAACCGCAAATCGGATTTTTATACTCAGTACAAACTCATGTTCAATTCTGATCACATCCAGAATCTTTCTGCAATTTGCAGCAAAAAGAAGCAACTTGTTTGACTCCCCAACAATTCCAACACACTTCATTACATTATTATAAAGTTAGTTACTTAAACTAATTGATAATTGATGATAAACATGAGTTAAATGCAAAGTTGTAGCAGAATACTCATGTATATTTTCAACATGAGATTCTCGATGTTATAGGATTTTTTTTATGATGTCGATTTCAACTAGTTTCCTAATCTCATGTGCTTCCACATGGACTGCAATTTCTTGCAAAAAAAAGAAAGGTGGTGATTAAGTTTTAAAGAAAGATAATAACGGTCAAATTTTAGAAAGATTCTACCAACTCCAAGAGATTTTCCCACACAAAAATATATAATCATATTTTTATTATACTTTGTTTTTCTGCAGAGTATCTCAGTGAGCTATTGTCGTTTGTCAAAGAAAAAGGCATATGTGTGAGAGAGGCGAAGAAGGAGCCCACCATTTTGTGTACTTTGATTGCTTATTTCCAAGGTACGTTATGTAAATTAACAAGATTATCTAGATTCAGATTTGGCAAATCAAAATTCAAACCAAACCCTCAAAATTACAAATTCAAACTTAATTCATGAAGAAAGAGTGACATCAGAGCATTGCATAAAGATACATGTTACTGGTTACAAAGCAAATTCTAGAGTTTTGTGACTACCCATCATCACTGTTGGTTTTACTTTCATATTAAAGCAAAATGAAAACTCAGTGAAAATTAACCTCGATGTAGATGATACCATGATGACGTTTAGTGGATGTGGCAGAGACTATGGTACGTTATTTTAATTATAATTTCTATTAGTGCATTATGGATTTCTACTTTCTAGGAAAAGGGTATTCAACTAATTTAAAATAAATTGCAGTGATCTCACAGTAGAGGTGATACATGATCTGGCTGTGTGTAAAGAAAAAAAAAAAAAAGGCTTTTATTGATGTGTGTGCAGCTGGAACTAGATGAACCTGCAATTGCAAAATGGATTTGATAGATGCGAAAAAACTTCAGCTTTTTGTAGTTGGTTTTCCTTTATTAAGGAATAAATTATAGTCTCCAAAGGGTGAATGAATGATGATGACTATTTGATTATTGGGAGGGAGCTGAAATATTCCATTACAAAATTTCAGCGTAATATCTTTATCCGTTCAAAAGGCCGACAATAGAAATGATTCAAAGTGCTAGCAATTTCACAAAGAAGTGAGCCATATCATGATCGTGAGCAACTGGGACGTCCACTAAGCACAAACAAAATCAACAAAAGAGCACTGAGAATAGGAAACAAGTACAATGAATGAACAGGGGCAATTTGAACAAAAGACTCCACGCACGCACCACGTCATTAAGATTAAAATTCTAAAAGTAATCTCAGCATTTTAAGTTAACAACTTAATGAACTCTCATTTTGTTAATGGAGGCTACACAACTTCTGAGCATGAGTGGTCAATTCGAAGACAATGAGAGAAGGGAAATGCAAAATTTTATGTGCAACAAAGGGACAACGACAATAGAAAACTTACAAGACAAAATAAATCTGCAAATATGAAGCGTATAAAGATCACGATTGATTTGAACTCATGGGTTATATTCATTACGCAAACATCGCAAGATCAATCATACAGTGACATTATTGTAAGGTTGATACTGATTGCATCCACTCACTCTAAACATACTATTGCTTGATTTAACTTCTCTTTTTGTATGCTGTTATTCTTTTCTTCAATCGTCTTGATGGCTTTTAAATGTTCGATTATCGATCATGTGAGTGGTCCATTCATTCAGGATAGTTTTGATAGTGGAAGGAACCAGAATGCTCTTGATGCGCAAACAAAGATTGTGGTTCCGAGTAGGACCTACAATTCTCAAACCAAGTTGTAAAACATTTATCTGTTCCACTTATTTTTAATCTTTAGAAGGTGGATAAGACATGGTTTCTTGTCTACTTGGGAACTTCGTTTTTTGTCGTTGAGAACACCTATAAGACTTCCCTCCAAGAATGCCTACAAGGTGTTTCTGTATATTCACTAATGGACAAGCTTATTGCTGTGATCCAACCCCACACCTTTTCTCTTCTCTCACTCACATGCTATCTACCTTTCTGCCAGTACGACCGATGTCAATTACAGTTAAAACCAGAAGATTTCAACACGGTACTTGCTTTATATGAGTTGAGTTCCAACTAATACATACCTCAACAAGTTACAAATTAACCATTCTGACATTCGAAGCACAAAAATAGCTTCAACTCGAAAGTGAAAAGAATATTTTGATAACTTAGGATGAGTCAACCTGAACAATCTAAACATATAGGTATCCATGATTTTGTTTCCTAGAAATGACAAAGGTATATGTCACAGTTTCTAAAAGTTAGTTTTTTAATAACCTTTGAACGTGCATGTACAGGGGGTAATGCCTATAAGGCAATGTCCAGCAATCACTCTTAAATTTGTCTTTGAACTTGTCAGACCATTCAAATTAACTTGCTCACTTGTTGATTTTCAGTACAGCTTCTTCTCTAAGGCTTCTATGCCTTTCTTCTAAAACCTATGCTAGCATCTACAATAACATGGTCAAAGAGTTCAGAAAGTGGTAAACTCTACTACTCTATACTCGATTATAACCCAAACCTCCAAATCAGCCAAAGATAATATATTCCTTATCGCATTCACTTTGGTGAAATGAACCTAAATCAAATGCAAGTAAAACAAACAGAACTTCCACACAAAACTAACAGGCATATATTACCATCTTATGTCAACTTCCAAAACGGCCCATTCACCTTTCAGCAAAAAAGTTGACCATCTCATCTGCAGTAGAGTCTCTAAGTAGAGCATAGGGCAATAAAGGAGCTTATTTCCACGTATATGCAAATGGATGAATTGCCTCTTACCACATTTGCAAAAACAGATATTTGTAGCTTATACATCTAAATTAATTGGGAATATAAGATGATTCTGTCATGAATTATTATAAGACAAATCAGTTGGATTCCCATTTCACCTGATCTTTCAATTTCCAGTCCTATGTGCATAATTGTAAATGGAGAGATAAGGAGACCCATAAAATAGAAAACTTAAGCAGGCCCAGACCACACTTAGTTATACAAAGTATAGAAACATACATTTCATGATAAGAAATCTTTTCAAGTATGATGTAATAGCGAAACTGAGTCTATCTTCCAAAAATAAATAGGGCGTAAACAAACCAAAGCCAGTTCCAAAAGGCAGCTGCTTAACTCATCAACTTACAGCCATCACCATCTGTTTGGAGATCCAACCAAAAGGTTCCACTGGATCTGCTGCAAAGGTAGAAAGCAACTTGGGTAATACTAGCTTCCAGATTTCTTCTTCCTAAAAGTAAAGCATTTTGGACATGAGATGCCACATAGACAACAGTACTATGATATGCTGGTTTTATTTATTCTTCGGTCACGAGGTAGTAAGTGAACACTGTCCAGTAAGTCACTCTTCTACAACATTCACAAGTTCATATTCAATCAGTGAGAGGTTGTTATCTTCCTTCACACTGAAACTGGCAGGTTCAGTAACTTCAACCCGACCCCACTTGTCCACAGCAAGCCTCATCGACCCTTTAAACATGTCAATTTTTGCGTTGCGCAGAACTACAGTACTACCCTCTTTCATCAAGTCCACTAATCAACAATGAACACCATCAATAAGATTCAACAGAAATTAAGGAGTCTGCAACAAATACCATAAGTCTGGCAGCAACTTTGACAGCACGATAAAAGGAAGATGCATAAAATATTAACTGCAACTAGTATCAAGTTTGCAAATCATAAATAGGCACAGTTAACACTTCAAAAAATGGATCAGACAACTCCAGATGTTTCAACCATTTGCATGGTCCAATATGCATTTAACTTTGAATCACTGTTGGACAGAGGTCCTAGTATGACTCAAGGAAAGTTCAAAACACAAGTCATTAACTCTATTGTTCATATCAACAATTCTGATAATACCATTTAAGATTCATGAGCCTCCTTGTTTATACAACTGTTAGATTGTATAGTTATCCTGTTCAATGGTTAGCATACTATTATTCCTTCTCCCATTCCTAATTTTGGAAACACTAACATAAGCTGTACTTTCCAATCAACTAGATGCACTTCTAAAAAGATTATAAAATTCTCACATGACCAATGGATATCACTAAAGTTTTTTTTGTCATAGCATAATATCCTATTTGCACTAATAACTAGTAAATCAACTTCAAAGTTCCAAGGAAATCCTATATTCAACGCATAAACAATGATAAGCAGCAACATGAGCTCACAAGTTGAAATACAATTGATGACCAGCATAAAATAGCAATTGCAAAATAATACACAGAACTACTAACTAAAATAAATATAGCAACTGTTGATTGTGATGCAGACAACTTGTCACCATCATATTAATAATAGTCAAATGGTTGAGATTAAATGTGACATGAGTTATTCTCATTCCAAATTAGTTTGCATGTCAAATGTGATCTCAAATGCTGAAGTTCAATTGGTTTAAAAATTTCAAAATTTGTGCATATGAACTTAACTAGAATTATCCCATTAAACTATGTATACCCACAAAAGTATATGGGATAAATACCTTGATCATTTCTAGCTGTAAAGATAATCATTCCAGTCTCATCCCCAACCAAGCATTCAGCAATTCTCATCTGACGTACTTGAGGCCCATCAGCACGACCCTTCTGCAATACCATCTTGGTACTAACGACCTTCACAGTGAGAGTGTGCCCACTAGTGCCCGGGCGAAGCTGCTCAACCTTTGTGAAAATTGGTTTCCTCAATCCAGGTTTTGATTCGGCCATTTTTAACGAAGCTACGAAACCTGTGAAATAAAAGGCTTCAGTAACTAAAAAACAAACTCAAGAAGATGAACCAACGACAGTAGATAGAGTATTGCCTAAATCGATCCTAACCAACTGATCAGGAAAAAAGCATAATTACTGCAGTAGATGCAGTAACATACTATTCAATCTTCTGAAGCAAGGGCAATGAACAGCATTTGCCTTTTTTTTTTTTTCATTATTTTTTTAAACAACTTTAATTGAATTTGCCGCTAAATAAGCCTTTGGCACTTTGGCACAAAGGATTGTCTAAGAAACTTCAACTTTTGCTTAATTTAAATCCATACCAACTAGAAAGTTCTCCCCTTGTTCCCTTTGAGAAACTAGGTTTCAAATGTAAAATCAAATTACGAATCCAAACAATTCAGCTCCTGGAAAGCAAATAATACAAATCAGAGGGACCTAAACGGGTAAACTTTCTTCCATTCACTCAATGGGACACAAAACTTACGAAAATAAATTTCACAAATTTGAGAAAATTTGAAAAAATACAGAAAATAGGGAATACGTAAATCTTAAAACCCTTTCAATAAATATCTCAAAATTTCCCTACAATAATAAAGAAGACTCGTTCTTTGGGCAATTCGTTCTTGTGGAAACCAAAATCCTATATAGGCTTTGCAGCTTTTTTCAATTTCTTTACTTTCTCAAATTCACATTCTCTCATCAACAGCAGAAATTCCAAGAGGGTCATCTTAAAATTAATTTATCCAAAAGAAAGCATAAATAAACATATATTCACGGATCGAACATAGGGATTGTGTAAATCTCGTAGTTATTTTAAGTCAACTCATACATTGTCGATCACCGTCTATTATTTTCAAAATAGATTAAAATCCCTAAATTTATTTCCTGTCTTATAACCTCAAACTAAACAGATAAAAAAAAATTATACATAAACACCATTACAAATCAAAGATTAAAATTTCTAACAAAAATAATAAACAAATAGCACAAAACAACAATAACATAAAATAACATGCTGAGAATGAGATCGAAAAATTAGGGTTTGGAAAAACCTTTTTTTGCAGAGAAGAGACGACTTGGAAATTGAACGCAGACAGAGTGAGTGTGTGAGATTTGATTGATTGAGAAACGTAGCCGTCACCCGTCAGAGTATGCTGTAGATGGAAAGAGTTTGTATTCGATACAGACCGTCCATCTTGAATTTATTAAATTAATCTCCACTGTACACGTGGTATCGCGTGAAAATTACTCGAGTACTAGATAAGTTTGCAATCAAGTCGAACACGTGCTGCTCCTTTGAAGTGTTCAGTTCAGAGCATTAAACGACGGCGTCTGGTGACTGTACCGGAGTCGTACAAAGACGAGACCGAGATTGCATATAGAAATGGGGCTTTTCTCAACCGAGTAATAATCTTTTCCGTACAAAGAAATTAGAAAAAAAAAAAAGAGTTTTATACAAAATGATAGATAGAAAATAAATGAAAAAAATAAGGAAAATGCTATATGTGTATAAAGTGATGTCACCATTGTTATATTTTACATTAATCTTTTTTTTCTTTTCAGAAATTAGTGGTGTGACGATTGTTATATTTTAAATTAATTTTTTTCTTTTCAAAAATGGGTGATGTGATAGTTGTCATATTACTTTGTACAAAAACTTTTTATAAAAGTCTTTATATATCTAATATTTCTCAAAAAATAATAATTACACTTATTAAAATATCTTACAAAGATTTTTATATAAAGTGATGTAGTAAAAAATGATATACACGATATTATTGTTCTTAACTTTTCTATTACTTATAAACTTTTTAATTTTTATATAAACTTTCTACGGACATATAAACGAATATGACAAAAAATAAAAGAGTGATTTTAAATTAAATAATTAGAAAAATTAAATGGCAAAGTTGGTCATAATTGATTTAGAGTCTTCAAGCCTGGACTTGATCTCCGTTGTCATACATGCAAGATTGACCGTCGGGTTAGATCGGCATACGACTAACCAGATCCAAGTGGTCATACATCATTCTGAGGACTTCTAATCACCGTCCGATAGTGGTGATTGGCTGTTGGCAATTATTAGGTGGGTAAGAGTATTTTTATTAATTTATAAACTTTTATTGTAGAGGGTATTTAGCTAAATTAATAAATATAAGAGATTAAAAAGTAATCTAATATTAAAAAAAAAATATAGCAAACACATTACAAAACCTGCTTATTTAATAAGTCAACTTAATTTAGAGCTTATAAACTAATTTTGACCAACTTATAAACTTAGGCAAACCCTTATATTAGAATACTACTATAAATAAATAAATTAAAAAAAAAAAAAAACCCCTATATAAACGGAGCTTATATTTTCAGTATTTGTTTTTACGAACTTCTCTCCGGTTGTCCGCCTCTCTCGGTTTTCCTTGGTCTCCTTCGTGGATCTTTGCATCGCTTTGCGTCTCTTTGTGAATCTAATTAATTGTAAGCCGCCTCTCCGTTTTCATCTCTTTTGTGCTCAGTTTTTTGCTTGTTGAATCTTTGCATTGCTTTAATTAATATTAAATAGAAACCCTAATGAAATTGTGCTTCTTATTTCTTAATGTTAAATTGTTTTGTCAGTTTTTTACTTTCAATTAAGAATCTATGAATGATAACAAATTTTTAAAGAATATGCCATTGCCCGCAACTTGTTCATTTCTTTTGCTTTTAGTGGATATGTCATCGGGATTCCTACATCGTTGATTTATGTGCTTTACCCTTTTTTTATTCTTAAACGTGAATGGTGCTATCGCTGTAGAATAAAAGTTCATAATAGCTTGTTGCACAATGCATAAAGATCTTATCGGTTCCAGACAAGTGAAATCTAAACAAATTATTCCATAGGAATAAGGCATATTAATCAACTTCTATCTATCATAGAAGATCTGATCAAACTCAAGCTGCTTTGGTTGCACAATTACAAATTTGCTGTGAACAAGATTTTAAGCTGTTTATATTTTTAAAGAAGAATGCATTATATTTTTAAAGTGGCAATGGTACCATTAGTTAGGTGTTAATTAATGCAATAATATTATTGCTGCGAAGCTCCCACACCCACTTGGGTTTTGTTTAAGTTCTTGATTAGTTAATGTTGGCATCAAACATGTCAGTATCATATATACGATGCTTGGTCGTGTTTTTGCAAACTGCAGTTTGCAAAATCTGCAATGCTTCACAAGTTAGTTATTTTAAATTAAATTAATTTAAAATTAGAATTTTTAAATTATGACCTTCAATTATTGTTGAAATTTTTGTAGATGGTGATGATGATGATGTTAGTGCGGGGCAAAATCAATAAATGATGGAATTCAATATCTATTTATTTATGTATTTGATATAGATCGTATTCATATTTTGCTGATGGTGATGTAATCAGTAGTAAACTTTGGTTATAGGACTGTAATGGAAGTCTTTTTCTTGAATTCTGAATTTTTTTGTCATACTGACGTGAGCATGATGATGTCACTAGTATGACCCGTCGATTGGACCAGTTCAATCGTTCAACTCACAACCCGAGCCCCTAGTGAGGTCAACAAGCGGGTCGGGTTCCTAATCCTTGTTTAATATAACATTTCTAATAATTTTAAGGTAACATTCTCATAATGCAATATTTCTTGAGTTAAATGTATGACAATGGAAGAATTTTATTATTATAACCACAAGGGGGATTTTAATTATCGATCATTTTTTTTAGGGGATTATTTTATAAACCCTATTAAGAATGAAAAAGATAGGCAATCTTAAAAGGAGCGTGAGTGTGCAAATTCACAAATTGCAATTATTTAATGGTATGTTGTTTCACTAATGCATATGAATAAATAATATTATTAAAAATAAAAATCAATTTTTATATTAAAAAATAATTATAACAAGAAGGACTTGAGCGAGGGACATTCTACTTTATTTCATTTTCATATGCTCATTAAATTTATGTAATAAAAATCTTATCACATATGACTTAACTTCAAAAAATCTAATGATCATTTATACAATTTAAAGCAAAACGAGTATATTATGTAGTATTTGTTTTATGTTATAAATATGTTTATTTATAATTATAAACTAGAATAATATTACGCATACAATATTTTCATACAACATTATGTGGTAAAAAATGATTGAATGAAAGTTTAATTTTAATTTAAAATCAGTTAATCATAATTTGTCATATAATGTTATATGAGAAGAAAAGTGCTAAATTTATAAAGACAAATACAAAGGGGGCATACAAAGACAATTGCTACCATTGATCTTCATGATTTCTCTCTCTTTTTTTTTTTTTTTTTTTCCGTTCTTTCTTTGTTTTTTTCTTCTCTCTCACGTCATTTTATAACCCTCTTTGTATAGGTCTTTGTAAGGACAACATTTTTCATATGAGAAATGTTACACAAAAATATTGTATGTGTAGTATTACATATACCTCAATGTGAAGAGAATATTTAACACTTAGGTTGCATTTGGTTCGGGGTGATATAAGATTAATCATGTAATCTTTGTTTAATTTTCAAGATTCATTCGTTTGGTTGTCAAGTAATAAAATATTACATAATCTTTTATTGGAAATAGTGTTTACTGTTGGTAATATTGGAGGTAATCAGATTACCTTCCTAGAGGGTGTTAATATAAAGATTACCGAGGTAATCTTAATTTTAACCCTATTTTGCCCTTAATCTTTTATCATTTCGGACACATTTGCCCTCATATGTCTACCAAATAACATTTACCCAGACCCCCTAAATTTGAAAATATAGCTAAAACACCACAAGCACAAAAAATTTTAAAAGCTAACAAAATACCCCCAACCACCCAAGACCACCGTTGGCCACTAGCCACCAATGCTGACCACTGGTAAAAGTCATCATATCGGGGCAAGACAGGCGAGATCTTGCCGGTAAAGACGTTTTCGGCCATGGATTTGTGATCCATGGCTGGAAACGATTAGATCTAGTTGTAGCATGGCCACATCTAATGCCATAGATCTGGCCATGAAAAGGCTAGATATTTGACCGTTTCACGGCCATATTCATGGCCAGATCTAGCCATTTTTAGCGATGGATCTTTGATCCATGGCCAGATTAGTCCTTATCAGCGCACGACCAACCATATTCGGTCGTTATGCGTCACTACGGTGGCTGCCAGCGGTGGTGGCTGGCTGGCTGGCTGCCGGCAGTGGTTTGGGGTGAGTGGGGGTGATTTTGCTATACATTAAAATTTTATATGGCTGTGGTGTTTTAGCAAAATTTCAAATATAGGGGGTTAAAAGAATAATTTACAAAATAATATTATATTATTATTTAAAAAGGAAGGCAATTTAGTAATCTACATAACATACCCACTCATTTATCCTCCCAACTAAATATATTATTATAATATACCCTCCGATTTATTCCAACCTGCCAAACACATTTCTTTAAAGATTCCCTGGTAATCTATCTTTCTAATAATACAATATTCTCCTATAATACAATATTTCCTGAACCAAACGCACCCTTATGTCATGTTTACTTTGCATGTTACACAAAGACATAGGATGATAGGAATACCCATCCCCTTGTTACTTCATAGACAAATGAGGGAATAAGCATTCCTATGGAGTGCTCATTCCCCCAAAATGAGCGAATCTGATTCCTCCCAAGGTATTCCAGGTAAGGAATGAGCTAAAATTTCATTCTTGATCAATTTGAATTTTTTAAAATTTTTCTAAAAATAAATAATATATTTTATAGCATTAAATAAAAATTAATTTAGTTATATATCGAATATGATATTTCAATTTAAATATTTTATGAAATATTTTAAATTATTATCAGGTTATTTTGCTTAATATATTTTTAAGAAATTTTATTGTCTAAAAAAATAAATGTATATAATAATTTAATACTGAGGGCCTTTTCATCTAAAAATCACAAAATTTATTCAATTCAATCATTATTTATTGTTAAAAGTAAACAATGTAATCATATTCATCCCTTCACGCGTCCGTATTCCCATTCCAATTACCATCCCCATTCTCATCCCTATTACCATCCCTGTGCAATCCATGAAGTAAATGTTGTCACCTTAGATACGCCATCATTTTCCCCTCGACCCCTCTCATATTCTATCAACTTTCTTATTATCATCTCTCTCTCTCTCTCTCTTGGTACAAAG